TATATTTAGCTTCCTCTTCTTCTTTTTCTTCTTCCTTCTTCTCTAGCTTCATCATCTTATGGTTCTTCTTCTTTTTATTTAGCCTCCTCTTCTTCCAATATTGCCGCTGCTGCTGCTTCTTCTTCTTATTATTCAGCTTCCTCTTCTTCTTCTTCTTCTACTGCTGCTGCTACTACTTCTTCTTATTTTTTAGCTTTTTATTCTTTATCTTAGGCTTTCTCTTCTTCTTTTTCTGCTGCTGCTGCTTCATCCTCTTCTTCTTCTTCTTCTTTAGCTTCCTCTTCTTCTCCTTCAATTGCTTCTGCTGCTTCTTCTTCTTCTTTAGCTTACTCTTCGTTTTCTTTGTTGCTGCTGCTTCTTCTTAGTCTTCTTCTTTAGATTCTTCTTCTTTTTCTTCTTCTTGTTCTTCCACTGATGCTTCTTCTGCTTCTTCTTATTTAGCTTTCTCTTCTTTTTCTTCTGGTTCATCTTCTCCTTCTTATTATTTAGCTAACTCTACTTCTTCTTCTTCTTCTTATTCTTCTTCTTTAGATTCATCTTCTTCCTCTTCTGGTTCTTCTTCTTCTTCTTCTAATTTAGCTTACTCTATTTCTTCTCCTTTTTCTTCGTGTTCCACTTTAGCTTCCTCTTTCTCTTCTTTTTCTTCTTTTTCTTCTTCTTTGGCTTCCTGTTCTTCTTCTTCTTCTTGTTCTTCTTTATCTTCCTCTTCTTCACATCTCTACATCATCTTTCTCCCCAAATTACAATTTTTCCGCTTAAGCATTCCTCGTTTTCATCTTTTTCTTCATCTTCTTCTCCTCTCCGCATCCTTCACCTCATCCTCTTCTTGTTACTTTTCCTTCTCCTCTTCACTTGACCGTCCACGAGCAGCCTTCCACCTCAGCTCAGGCTTCTCAGTTGCCAACTGACTTGTTGCTGCCTTCCTGACCCTCGAAAGTGCCGCTGCTGCTAACTTGGGGCAGCAATCTGGCATCTTTGCCGTCCATTTTGGGAAAATAGTTTTTCCTTTGCTGGTGGCCAAAATGCAAATTCGCGTGAAACTCACCACTTTGGCTGCATCCCCACTTTTTGTCAGATCCCATCGAATTGCTAATTCCATCCGATCGTCGCGTCTCTCTGCCGCCAAAATGGCGTCTGTCCCTCCACAGGCCCGACACAAGCCGATGTTCATTGGGCCGATTGCATCGTACCACTTTCAAAGGTCCCAAGTCTGAGATCGTGTCTCCTCTTCTTTCTCCTCATTCAACCAACTTGCTCGTATTGCCCGAAAACTCATGACCGGCATCGTCATTTCGCCTTGTCCTTCTTGGCGCCACGCCACACGTCGTCAAGGCGACAAGTGAAGCAAATCGCAGCAGATGACAAAGCCTCGGGATTCCACTGAACTTCTTCTCTCGAATGGACTATTGGCCAGCATGGACATACGAATTGCAAAGGAAACATGTGGCCCACGCAGCGGATTGTGCGGCACTTCACATATCAGTCCATTTCCCACCAATCGTATTCACTTTCTACTGGTAGTTTCGAAACATACTACTCATGAAATCACTGAGCAGTGACAACAAAGTACTTATCCTAAAAAGCACTCGCATAAATCTCTCTCTTTCTCTCTTTGTCTCTCTCTCTCTCTATATATATACAAATGTTAGTTAATGTTACATTCATTTTGAGTAGGAGTAACTGTTTGCGCAAAGTGTGACTCAATTTTGGACGAAAAGTATGAGTACTCTTAAATTTCTTTTCTTTCTATGAAACAGATAATATTATTATATAACTAGCATTTTATATATATTAATAATAAAATGTAAGCAATTCCCTTCTTAACCTCCAACATTCAGTCACATTTGGCCCAATTATTTACTCCCCCCCCCAAAATACGACCTTACATTTTGCTATTGCCCACATTTGAACTCAGATATGGACTTGCATATAAATCCGTAACTAAAACGGGCACTGTTAATTTCAACATCAAATCATAGTTTTATTAACACTTTTGCTCATACCTTGAGCTGAATTGTGACTCACGCCTCAACCTACACCTTTATTCATACCTTTTGCAGTCAGCCCTAGCCATACAATACCTTGCACATGTTTATTCATATTTTCATTCAAGCCTATTTTCACCCTTTTATTACTACTACTCTTCATGACTATAGTTTCATTTGACTCTTGTTGCTACAGAAATTTGATGTCATTGTTATTTATTATTTGCCCTAGGATTGTGTACACTTTGATACCAACAGCATGTATTGAATAAGAACCGAACTGGTTCTGGCCAGCAAAAAGTGGTGAAGCAATGAAATGTGCATTTTTCGGACCAGTCTGGCTGTGAACAGAGTTTCCAAGTTGAGGTGAGGAGAACTCTGATGGCATCACAGGCCGGCTCATCTCAGACTGGAAAAAGTCAACTATGCAAGCTTGACCGAGAGTGAATAGACTTTGTAATCACAATTTACTCTCTCCTATTGCGTCTCGCTTACGCAAGCATTCACCTAAAATCACGAATGAATATGTGCACTTTTGCGCAGAAGCATTGCTTCAACGAACCTAATGGAGCCATTAATCTACTCATCCTGGCATAGACGCTTTTGCCAAGTTTGCCATTATCCAGTGTGTTTTCTCCATAGCCCCATATCCACATGTTCCGATGTCCATCGAAATATAATCTAAATCATGCTAACATTTCATAATTTATGAACACCAGCGCAATCATGATTACACATAAAAATGGGCATTTATTAACATTCATGCATACATACATACATACATACATGCATACACTGACACATACATACATACACACTTACACATATACATATATACATACATACATACACGCATAAATACATTCAGACAGACATACAAACAGACATAAACCCATATAGACCAATATAGCGTCGCCTACGTAACCTACTATGGCGGTAAAAACATAATTACAGACAGAAACAAATCTTCTAATACCGATGATGTTGCGAAGAAAAGTTGGGTTTCGAGGAATCTCTTATTTCAAATATTGTTGAGCTTACTTCCATTTTGAGTGAAAGTGTTGCGTGAAGAGATTCGAAGGTCGGTTCCACCAGAA